GTTATATATGTATATATGTATATTTTATAATAAACATATAGAAGCAAATACTTGCATAAATTATTCCGTTATATATACCTTTTTGTTTGCATAATATGCTTATATATATATTCCCATCCATTCTTCCATATTATCCTTACCTTTATTTTTCCCACCTCTAATTTATTGGTTGTGTTTACTCCTATCAAAGGTCATTCTATATTGCTTACTATCAATCGCATGACTTTTTGGAGTTGACTTGGGGGCAATTAGTATGCAAATAGTAACTGATATGTCAAAACATGTCAAAGTAAGAGTTAATTACCAAGAACGGAGGCAATAAACCATATACATCCTGAGGGCCGCAGGCTGGAGGGATGTATATGCTTATTGTCAATGTTCAAGGTAATTAAGTATTTTATTTATCAATTGAGAAGGTTTTCTATCAAATGTTGCTCATTATTAATGCGAAGTCTATATATAGTTATCAACCAGGTTAATAACTAACTATATATTGACCTTGCATCTATAATGAGGGTTATAACAAAAATAAAACCTTGTGAATAACAGAGAAAACCGTGTCAATTGAGAAATAATTAGTAATCTCAAAGTATTCTACCTCACTATTTCTACCCCCTGAAACGAGAAATCAAGATATACTTGTACAACCTCCAAGGTCCTTTGAGCTTCCAAATGTTAATTGCCCCCAAGTCAAAGCACAGATATTACCGGAAGTGTGCTGCTAAAAAACAGCCTAAATAACTCTAATACAGTATTGTATTTATAACCCGTGCAAAATGATCAAATTTAGATATATACCGACACTTTATTTAAAGAGGGTACATAAATAGAGAATAAATGTTCGGTAGTCTTCCTTATGGCCAAGTTTGATTTCATCCTTGCTTCTGTATACTCCTATCTTTTATCACCTTGATTTCTAAGTATGAGGTTAATTACTGTGAGCCACACCCCTACGTCCTTCCTACATCCTTGCTCCTGTATACTCCTATCTTTTATCACCTTGATTTCTAAGTATGAGGTTAATTACTGTGAGCCACACCCCTACCCCTTCCGAAATTTTGCCATTCTTCAACGATGAACTTCAGGTCTTTGGAGTTAAAACCTTGAGCAACACGCTAGCACATATTTAAACTTTGGATATTGTAATGGAGAATCATGGGAAAAGTTTCTTTAATTATAAGTACTAGTATCCTTCACAGCCGTTTCTTAGTGTCGTCGCCGATTGCGTTGAGCGTTGCATGATGAAACTAAGTGGGGAGTGAGCATCGCGTGACGACACTAAGTGGGGAGTGAGCATTGCGTGACGACACTAAGTGGGGAGTGAGCTTTGCATGAAGACACTAAGAACAGCTGCTGGGGAGACAAAGTATAAGTCTATTGGATAAGTTATTAGATGAACTATTGTTTTGGTTACTATTTTCCGGTGGCATCTCTATCGGTGCTTCATTTTTTCGAGTGACGTAGCGAAAACAGGTATCCCAATACTTTCACTCATTGACATCTCGACATCTCTTGTTATACAATCTCCTCACTCTAAGGTCATCTTGGCGAAAGCTACTGAATCAAATTCAATAGCTGTTATTACAGTTGAGCCCGCAATGAGAAATTCTTTTGTTTTAAGAATCATACAAGTGAGGCTATTCGGCCGATACAATGTTTGTTGTCTTATTTGAATCTACTGAGTATTAGTATGCACAACCATCCAATATTCATGTCAACACACAGCTGGGAGAATGTTTGACATATGTGACGGCTTTCTCTATGCTTCTGAGCTTTGTATATACGATTTGAAAATCTAAGGAATTAAGTGCTTAACGTTCTCAACCACGTTAAGGAACTGCATTGGAATCATATTGAACCCTATTGAATTCCAGGAAGACAGCCCAGAGCGTCTTCAGCAGGTTAGTTTTTGTATTTCAGTAGCATTCGCTCGCTGACACGGCCTCCAATTATAGTTTAATTTAATCGACCTCTCAGGGGATAGTATGAATGCTTTATCCTAAATCAACTTGCCATTAAGAATAATTCCTATAGACTACATAGCAACTAAGCTGGCAAAGATTACACTAGTTTTTAGCTAGTTATCTCTTCTTGCAGGGTAGTTTCTTCGCCTTTTTTTGTACGACCTTTCTTGTCTGAAAACATTGAGTCGAGCATATTATGTTACGGTTACCAACATTTTCTCATCATTATTATATTACCTACACCTAAATTGATCTCTAAACTGTAGCGACAAGTAAGATCTGTTCTTTTAATGGGACGAAAAGATGGGAATCGCTTAATTTAATTCAACATTATCCATTGAAGGAATCTTAACTTTATTTTGCCATGTTATTTGATCGTCAAAGCAAATTATCGTTCCTCAAGATGACATCCTTCAGATTCATCGGTTAATATCATAAAATTTTAATGTTTCTTCAGTTCATTGCAAAGTCAGAGTCATTTACCGAAGTTATTTACTTTCACACAAAACGGAGTACCATTTTTAAACCTTTTTCTTTTTGAATAGGATATTTTAACTCACGTACTGCTKAATATGATTCTTTTTGCCTGTAAAACGTGCAACGACACCTTCAACAACCAATAGACTGTATTAAAAACATAATAGCTTTGTGGTTTGTATGGCTTATTGTGTTGCAGGTGTTTGCCGCTTCCTGGCCAAAGCTCACGGCTTTATATACATCGGCGAGCCCTAAGATCAGTTGTGCTCAGATTTTGATTTTGTTTTTGTCCATGTCTGCCGGATTTGAAGAGAGACTGGAGACAGTATATAACTCTTTCTCAAAATAGTACTATCTACTTAATGAACAAAGATACTACTTGAAATATGCTAATGTTTTATAGCATGAGGCATTTTTTGTTGTCTGTTTATTTACTTTTTTTCTTTCAAACATTTAGTAATGACATCTTTACCTGAGACGCTGCCAAACATACAGATGTTGGGATTTGTCTTGTCACTTTTTCTTTGCCAATCTGATGTGTATTTAGTAATGACATCTTTACCTGAGACGCTGCCAAACATACAGATGTTGGGATTTGTCTTGTCACTTTTTCTTTGCCAATCTGATGTGTATGTAAAGTAAAATCTGACATGTGGTCGGACAGAAAGAAAGTAAAGATCGTCAATATCATCTTATTATAAACCCTTATGCTTCAAGTGAAATAGGAAAGGAAAGAAAAGTGAGCTGAGAAAAACAAGAATGAAAGGACTGAATGGAAGAACAACTCCTTTTAAACGAATTCCAACATTGATTTTTTTTGTTGATTTTTTTCGGCGTTCAGTTTTCGTCTGAGTCATGTCAAGATACACACGTAGCTGCAGACAATGCGTCGTCAATGCTATTAGGGTGTTTATATTGAATATATCTTTTCATAAGATATTACCTACCTCAATTCCTTTTGCCGTTTATTAATCTGTCATATCAACCATCTATCAATACTATAAACATGGAACTCCACCTCAGGCGGATCACAGAATATAGGGTCCAAAATGCCACAAGAAGCCCAAAATTATATGCTTTTTTTCTTTCTTTCTTTCTTTTTTTTTTGATAACTTAGGGAGTTGCCTCCAACTATACCATGCACTGCCATTACAGGATAAACCAGTTAGAAATCGCCAAATAAAAGCCCCATGATAAGATCGAACAGAGGTACAAACTCTGTGTAAATTGGAGCAGCATTCTGACTAAGCAAAGCAGTAACAATAGTAGTGGAAACTAAAGAGAAACACCAAAGTTAAAGTTGGGCTGCATGCAGGCTAATGAGGGCTAGAGCCTTGTCCCTTGACATGGATATAGTCGATTCGTTCCCGGAATAAATTCTTTTGTAACAAATTACTTCTTTATTTGTTGTGAAAACAAGAGTACATAAGGGAATCCCAATCACTCTGATATCGCGATATGCAAATGGATCGGCATTTGACATCAACTGATAAGCTTTCCAGTTATCGCAAATGCCAAGTAAATGCTGTTTAAACGTCTAGAAAATATCCAATTTTTTAGCTAAAAATACTAAGAAATTAGTGACCTTTCACTGTGCGGACACTCGTACCACGAACACTTCAAGGTTATTTTAAGCATTTTGCGAGTAATCCAATTAGAAGCCAGATTCATACACAGGTTCCAACATTTTTTTTCGTGCAATGTCAGTCTATTGGGTTGTGGTTGCCGTTAAAATTTTTAAAAATTTACAATATAAAGTGTATCAATTATTTCATAACAGCTACTTCGTCAATGAACGATATTTTTGTTTTATTTTTGTAAATTATTGAAAGTTTGCACTATGTGCGACAGTATAGCAGTTCATTAGTTCGGGCGGAGTGAGCTAAAAATAAAACATCTAGAGATTTTTCGCCGTTTGTCGTGATTGGATGGCGCCTAAAAAATGTTTGATTCCTTTGTTTCTACAGAGAGCTGTGATTGGATAGTTTTGAAAGAATGTCAAAAAAAAACAACCTTGAAGTGTTCATGGTTCGAGCGTCCACACTGTAAAATAGGTTTAATTCCTTAATTATAGACATTATACACATCAATTTGCCAGGGGTAAAAGATGTTTTTTAACATAATTCCTGAGTATTTTCTCGTTGTTTAAAAAGTCGTTCCCTCGCTTTGTGCAACCATAGTAAATATTAACTATAGTGCATCTTCATATGCAATATAAACTGATGCAACATAGCTCTGGAAACCTTTTCCTGCACATGTTCGTCGAGGTGCGGATGGACATCACATCGCATCAACTTCAGCTTCAATTATTCACAATAATGATCAATATCTGTTTAACATCAACAACAAAAACCGAAAAAATTATAGGAAAAAAACTTTGGAAAACAAATTACACCGCGAAAGTCAACACTTCCTTTTCAAAAAAAGAAATTATTTACCAAAACAATTCTTAACAACACGATTTCTAAACAACCACGTGTAATTCCTCGGCTAGTTCCGGTTCACTGCTTAAAACTTCAAAGTCAAACGAAGCAGAACGAATTACGTAAGTTAGATTAACACCAACCATAGTTAATAGAGCAACAACCTTTAGTTTGGCTTTCTAGCAGCGTGTCTTGTTTTTGTCTGCAGTATATTAGACTGTGTTCGAAAATAAATCGATCTTGAAGATAATCGCAAACATGCGATGGAATAAAGCTGACCGCTCGACGGCACACGGTATGAAGATTTTTCAAGATTCCTATAAAACTTGCTCTTTTAATGGCTTTGAATGCCTTTAATATTAACAACGTGTATTGCTTTTAATAACTTGTATTGCTTTGCTTATTAATCTCGTTTGCAACTTTTGACTAAAATATATTGAACATTTAATATCTCAAGTTACTTAAGCATGCATGTTTGTGCATATATATGTATAGATGAGAGAATCGTTGAGATCGGTATTGTTGGATAGTCCGATAGTTATGCTCCAACTCTTGAGCTACTGCATTACAATTCAACAATTACCTGAGATGATTTTTTTTCAAGAAGTCTGGTCTAGTCCTTTTTGAAAAAAGCAAAACAAGACTTCTTTTATGCAAACTTCGTTGAATTTCAGCTTATTACGTGGGTGTGAGTCAATTATTTACACGTGGGTGTGTTTAAATTTTAGTTTGATTGGCAGAAAAAGAGCAATGCAAACAATTCGGTTAATTTGAAACTACCTAAAATATTTTCTCTTATAATTTGTGCAAATTTTGGACAAACCTTCTCAAGCTAACCTTGTGAGAAAGTGTCTATCAGTATGATTCCAGCAGAGAAAACTAATAACGTTTTCTCAGGATCGAGGACCACCAGAAGAAGCGTAGGAGTTTTGCAACAGAACTGTCAAAAATACTTCACTCAAACATTTGACATATTCAGTAAAGGCGATTAGGATTACGGGCTGAAAAATGCGCTGTTGCCTGCGGGCTTTCGTTTTTAATGTGAGAATCTGTCTCATCTTAGCTATTCTCTCACTTTCCAGGAGAAATTGTTTGAAAACAGTCTTCAAACACCATGATCGAAGTTTTGAAACATTTCAAATGTATATCATGTGATGGTATTTCAAATATTACAGAAAATAGGCTCAACTAATCCCTTTTCACCAATAATCTCATGATGTGAACTAAAAAAACCGGCACTTTTTTACTGTGCACTGACAAAGCACTAACTTCAGTACAGTTGCCTAATGTTTTACACTACCTATTGACTTGTATTCAACACATTCACTAGTTTTTTTGAAGAGATAACTAGCTAAAAACTAGTGTGAGCTGCGTCGGTGTTTCTAATGAAACAGTAATGATCAAAAGGTAAATTATACACCGTGAAAAGATGAAAAAACTTACTGACGTTTCGGACGCTAGTCCTTCGTCGGAGTAAAAGAGAAAGAGGTTATAGAAAGGAGTGTGTGTTTTTTGTTTTTTTTTTTGTGGCATTGCATTTTCAATTAATTCAAGCGCGAACCTGGACAATCCAATTAGTGGTCACTTTGATCGTTTTGTTCTTCGTTTTGCTTTGTTGTCAGCCTTTTACAATACCGCATGGAGGATAGTGTTGTTCGGTTGCTATTTGTCTTTTTTACATTGTTTTTAAACAACTGGGTTTGTATTTTATTACTGAGTTAAAGCACTTGCCCTGAAGTCAGTTGAGGATATAGGACTTAGTTATGCGGCTGACTCCGAAAACAAATCAGCCATACAATCTCAGAGATAATAATTTTTCAACATTTTGGAGCAAATCCTGGACAATAAAGGCCTAAGGGGAATCCCTTAGGGCATCCAATCAAACTCTTCGCGATCCGGGATTCATCCAATTAAAGTAAAGGAAGTAAAGACTTTTGATTTCCAAGCCCATCCCACACGGCTTACCGCCTCATCTCTTAAAGACTTGTACGCTTTTTTGTAAGTTACAATAATACGCTGTTATCGTTTTCAAGTGCCCTGTGTCTTTGATCTGATTAGGTTTATTTTGTAACGTATTTGCTGTCATTTGCTCGAGCTCAAGGTTAGCAACAAGAAACTTAGTATAGCAATCTTTTTCAGTCTGACATTCTTCAATGCTTGTGGATAGATTGCAGATTACTGTTAAGTCAAAATAGCGTAGAGTACGAATAATGAGTCTAGCTAGAACAATATAGAAATTAATACTGTCAGTCAAAGTTAGTAAAAATTAATAAAAAAAAGCGATAGTAGACTAAGTCAACAGGTGCGGTTTTCTAAGGATATATTATTTATGGACACAGTTAAGCTATTGGTTTCAGGATGTTTGCATGAGTATATCAACACCTTCAAGAAACTCTAAAAACTTTTTTGTATGATATGATGTTCCCTACCTAGCGGTATTAGAAAATGGAACCGCTATTTTGACGAAGTGTTTTTTTTTTTCAGGGTAAAACACTGTGTTTCATAACGATTGCATGACTGATTTTTTATTAGGATCACGGCCACTTGAGAAGCGTGTCGGGATGTTCAATAATGGTACAGATCCCACTCTGATTTCAAGACAGTTCCAGAGAATACAAGAGAGAAGAATGTATTTATCGCAGCAACAGTACAGTAGAGAAGCTGATGAAAGAACTAAGTAAGTACTATGTAATAACAAGCTATCAAGCTATCAGCGACTTAACTATTATTTCTAAACCAGCTTATTATTTCGCTTTGAAAAGAACATAAGAAGATGATTTCTATTTTCCTTTCTGGAACTATAAAAAATGGAAAAATGCCCGAGCAATACCTTGAACTTTTCGTACCTAATCTAATTAGGGGAAAGAAGGTTACCTCATTCCTTTCTTTCTTATATATTTAGTACATGAAAACGGGCCATTGTCTTAGCCCGAATCTCAACACCAATCGTTCGGATTTCACTTGTTTTATGACTTTTAAAAACATCTTTTTAAAATTCTTTTCTCGCTTAGTGTTACCAACAATGGCCATTCTTCCAGCGTTCTTGCAAATCTCTTGAGGAGTGATCAGAATATAAAAACGGTACAGCGTCCATCACAGAATACGGGTTCTCTCCATCCAAGTACGTCCATACAAGATTCTATGTCATCTGCAAATCAAACGATTCAAGAAACGACGGTCCCTTCTGATGGCGCTTTGAGACCTGCAACATCAACTAATCAAGAAACAGTAAGCAACGACCGAATTAATTGCCGCCAAGAACTGCTAATGGAAGTTCTTTCCCAATTCGAAAAGAGAGTAAATGCTCATCAAAATAAAGGTGTTGAGTGCTCTAAGCGCCAACTCAATTCTAACAACGGAGTTGCGTTCGACTGGGGTAAGCTCCCAAGGATCGGCTCTGTCCACTCAGTGCAAGGTATTGTGGGACAGGAAAGGGTAAACACCTCATTGGCCGTTGGATCGAAAGAGCCAAGCAGTAACAATCCACTCTCTAGGATGGGAAAGATAAAAATGGCAGAGCTTGCGAGACTCATTCTTGATGGTACCTTTGACAACTTTCTCAATCCCAGTTTTCCGAAAGACCAAACTGCTGGCAATGTTAAAACGGCAACAGTTGGTTTGAATAGTGCATCTGAAGAAAACGATAAAGATTCTAATCAGGTTTCAAGAGTTGAGAGTCGGCTGTTTGGTCCTCGAGTAGGGAGTAGTTCCCAGGATAGGGCAGTGAATTCGGTACCTGCCAATGCCTATGAAAATAGGCAACAGGAAACTTCTGCCAATCAGATTGTTTCAACTTTCAATCAATCTAGTGCGTATCCCAATACTAGTGGCAGTCTTGATCCCCAATCAAATCAAAGAACAAGCTACATTACGAATACCCCAAATTTCCCCAGTACTGGACGTCATAACATTCAATCAAATCAGAGAACATTATACAATACTAATAATGGTAATCCCAATGCTGCTGGAAGTTATGATACTCAATCAAAACGGAGAACAAATTACAGTGTGAATACTTCAAACCTGTCTACTAGTGGAAATCATGATCTCCAAGCGAATCAAAGAGCAAGTTACAATACGGGTATTTCGAATCGCAACGCTAGTGGAAGATATGATCGCCAAACAAATCAATTGACGAGTTACAGTACGAGCTTCAATCATCAAAACGTCTCGCACATGACACATGGACAGACCCCTGGCGTCTATATGCGCACTCCTGTGCCATCATCTTACCCCCGACCTCTTCGCAGCGTTCCAAGTGCACCTAGCGTCAACAGCAGTTCTTGTTACATTCGTCACCCTTTGACCTCTATTCCGGTGGCGTTATCTATTCAGCCAGCTGGAATAAATGCATATAGAGACTACAGGTTTTCATATCCCCATAGGGCGACCAGAACTGCAAGAGTTGAACCTTTGAGTAATCACACCAATATTGTTCAACCATCGCCTCGTGCTACCCACGTAACTACTTCGAACACTACAACTCCTTCTAGTCCTGGCTATGATTTTTCAAAAAACGCTGAGCATGATCCGAACAGTTGCCTTGACTGCAGCTTATTAGGTACCTGTCCTATAAAGAAGGCCATTGCCGCTGTTGGTCTAGCCAATGAAAAAGAAAAAGAACCGAAGGATTCTAGTGATGAAGAGCCTGAACTTATAATAACAAAGGTAACAACTAAAGACGCAGAACGTGGACCCATTGAACGGATAGATGTCGATGAGTGGGCTTGTTCCTCGGAGTCTCACTCGGAATCAGTCAAAGTAAAACAAGAACCAGCGGATAAAGAGGAAGTGGCTCATGCGGAAAAGAGTCAGAGCGTTATAAATAACATTGTCAATCAAATGCGTTTAATGGCTAGAAAACTACTTACTGAAGATGGTGTTTTACATATGGGAACAAATTCTGGAAGAAATGAACAGAACTCTATTGATAACAGCTTGAATTCGGATTCTGTTTCTATTCAAGAGTCTGTCAGCGACAGCAATGCTGTAGACAGGCAACAGGTAGCCGTTTCTGAAGATTTATCTACACAACCTACCTCAGACGCCACCGATAGGGGTGGTCAAAATGTCACCGAGAGTAGCACTATGGTTGGCCAAGAGGCTTCTTCTGAATTTTCAGAAGGAAGGAATACGATTATAGACCGTACCAGTGAAGACATAGCCACAGATCAACTGACAGCTTATAAAGTTACTGAAAAGAGTATTGTTCAAGATCGTGTCACTATGGAAATACAGGCTGCTACTGAAGCTCCCGACGAAAGTATTATTCTAGAGCATGTCACTGAAGACATCACCACGGATATACAGACTACTTCTGAGGTTACTGCAGAAAGTATTACTCAAGAAGAAGACCCTGGCACAATAATCGCCATAGACACACAGACTGCTTTTGATGTTAATCAAGAAAGTATTGCTCAATACGGTGTCACTGAAGGCGTCACCATGGACACACAGCCTGCTACTGAAAGTGTCGAAGAAAACGTTAATCAAGGCCATATTACTGAGGATATAAATGTAGACCGGCAGAGTGTTTTTGGAGTTACTGATATTGACCAAGATGCTGACGCCACCCAAAGAAACGTCTCAAATGAGAGAAGTGATGAAATTGTTGGTGACGACAACTATCCTTTGGCTACACTGACGAAAAGAATCAAATCACTAGAGCATTGCATAAACTTTTTAAAACAACGCGCTAACTCCGATTGTGGTCCATCTGAAAGCGAATACGATAAAGGAGATCGAAACTATCAGAAATACGTATTGATGGAAGGCGGGGAACTTGCTGATCAAGACAATGATGAAACTGTACGAAGAAATACAAAAAGTGTCGAACATTTTGCTACTAGTCGAACAATCAGCCAACGAATATGCACTATAACTGAGATGAGTTTACAGGATAAAGAAGCAATGGAAAGCCTCGAAAGAGAACTTGAAGAAAACGAAGAAAAATTAAAGAATCAGAACGTTGTGCCGATAAGAACGAAATATCTCAAAGAACGATTGTATTTGCTGAAGAAGATCGAAAGAATTCGCCAGAAGTACGAGATGAGTTTACAGGATAGAGAAGCGATAGATAACCTTGAAAAAAGGCTTGAAATGAATCAAGAGAAATTGAAAAATCAAAACGTTGCGTGGATAAGAAAAAATTGTCTTAAAGCTCGAAAAATTTTGTTCAAGAAGATTGATAGGATAAGAGGGAAATATGGATTTCTGCCTGAAGAACCGTCGTCCCTAAATGATGAAGATTTGGAAGGCAGAAACATTGAAGACAATCCACAAAACATGGAAAGTCTTGAGGCAGAGGCTGCGCCGGAAGTGAACGCTGCACTTATAGTTGTGGAAAATCGTTTTCCTCTCGATGCAGTTCCTGATCAAGAAAACGTCTGCGAATTTACAAGAAATAGTGCCGATAGCCTTGAAATGCCTAAATCAAACGCGGGAATGAACCAGGAAAACGAACGTCTGTCCAACGAGGCTACTGATCAAGCTGAAGAAGTCACTAGCGAAGAAGGATCTGCATTAGAGAGTATAGCGACTGATTTAAACAACAAATTAGATATGGAAGAAGAAAATCCTGTTTTGTCCGAGGAGACAAATCCAATGGCGGACCCCTCCACGAAAGATGGCCTCTCAGAAAAGAGTGAAGTCATTCGGGAATCAAACGTTGAAGAGGCCTTCATTCTGGAAGATGCGATAGAAGCTTTTGTCGAAAAGCCTCGAAATCGGCAAGATGAGACTTCCGGTGAAAAATCTTCAACTCCCTTTTCTCTAAATAATCACCTAGAAGTATCCTCTCCTCTGCAAAATGAGAATCAAGAAAATAGAGGACTCTCTTTTCCCTATAAGGGGAAGCAAGATAAGTCAGACAAGTCAGTACCGAAGAAAACTACAACAAACTTATCGACCGAAAGTTTACCACTGATGAACCGCGACAGTTATATTATTGAGAGCACACGTATAACTAATGGTGAAGCGCAGGCCATTCAACTACCAGAAATTCAAGACCTTTCAAACGAAAGTACTAATAGTATTTCAGATAGAGCTTTTCCAGAACTGACCAGAGCTGACCAATTTGGGGAAAGTGCCAATATTTCCAATGCTGCAAGGGACAGTCCTGCTTCGAAAAACATTTTGAGGAAAGAAAAGCGAAAAAGTGATGCCAAAGAAGAACATGTAATAATAAAAAAAGAGAAAATTGACGCGGATCAAGAAAATACACCACAAAAAGAAAACAGTTATAATATATGGGATTTCATTAAAAAATATTCTCATCGATAGCGGTTATACTGATTGAATATATTGCTGTGAGCTAGATTACATGTTTTCTGTATTAACGAAAATATTTTGATAATAAAATATACGCAAAGGAAAAAAAAATCACAACTCTAGCAGTCTAACTTGTTGTATTTGTATCACAAGGATAATCACTGAATCGCAAATCGAGATTTAATCGAAACCTGATTTGAGATTCAAAAGTTCCGTTTCATTTTGTCTAATAAGTTTGAAATCAAACTTGAAAAAACAAAATCTTGAATCTTCCAACCTTGATAGCTGGAAGAGCTATTTTCATGTATTCCGAAAACAGCGAGAAAGAAAAGCCAAAAGGATTAAAAATTTGGATTTTGTAGCAGGGGACTGTTTACCTTGCTAGCAGAAAGACTTCTTCAAGCAGGATGTAGGGATTTGTTATATCGTCGGTGAAAAAAGATATGGCGGCCATTTTGGACTAATTAGCAAAACGTGTGAAATTAATGTATTAAGATTTCTTGCACTTTTACCGTGAAAATCGTTTGCATGCTTTTCTCGTGCGAATCTGGAATAATCAATAAACAATGAATAATCAAGAGTAAAGTTTGCGCGCGAAAAGAAAATCCTGAAAATACTGAAGCAAATTTTTGAACCACAAAAACTAGACCACCGTAGAAGCAGGTAGCGGTATTTCCGATACATTACAGCTCTATCAACAAAATTTTTATCGCTTCTGTCTTTTTGACATCAAGCAATTAGCAGAAATATTCACACCTTCTTTAACTAGTTGTCACAGTTAAATCACGTTGAAAAAATTCCCATGCGTGAATGAAAAGCTAAAATTTAAAGTTTTTTCAACTAAGAAATATCGCAGAGTAATTAAGAAAACTATCAAAAGATTGGATTGGAAACGCAGTATTTTATATCCTTGATATCGGTGTGAAAATTGGGTGTAAATATCGAGAGAATTTGAAACTAGCTAGAGTGATGGCAAGGGAATAAATTATGGGATGCTTAGTTTGGTGTAGTATTTCATCTGAGCTTGCAGGATTAGGACTTGCTGAATGAGAACTTGCTTTGGGTAGTATAGTTTAGTTTATTTTGAAAGAAGGTCGCACTTTTAGATATAGAAAAAATTCGTTGAGTTAATCGTTAACGTTTGGTAATTATCTTGAACGCTGGAATGTGGCAAAGGAAAAGAATGGAACTCTGGACAAAGGCAGTCGAAGAGCAGCTTTCCATTCGTCGACGGTCTTCCCACCACCTACAACAAGACTCATGGACGTCGACGAGGATGGCTTTGAATTATAATCCAGATTATCGGGGGTTTCCTTCACAAATACACAATAACCGGTAGGTCTGTTGGTATATTATGAACTTTTTCATTCAGGGTTTTGTATTTTGAGAACTTCAAATTCGGCAAAGCTTCGCCGTAATGTTTGTTGTTGATGAAGTATAAATTTTGTTGTGAAGTATGATCTTCAAAAACTGGAGAACAAAGTTTGCGAAAGCTCATTAAATTTAAAAATACTTATGAGATTTCTAATTTATTGTCTAATAAAGCCGTCCTACTCTCAAATCTACTTCAGTTTTCGTAATTAATTCAAGCACTTTGGCTTATTAGATTCATATTGAGCTGAAGCCAAGGCGAGCTTACCTTTGACTCAGTGCAATCTTCGAGTCCATTGAGATTTTGCAGTTTTTCTAATGCACAGCCTATAATTGAAGCTAAAGCGTAACAAATAGATCGTAAAGTAAAAAAAAGATTACTGCAAGTTTTATCCCTGGACATTATTTGCTCTTTCTTCCTATCAATGTCTTTACAAGATCTCCATAGTGTCCTTCATAGCAGCGTGTTTATATAAGCTTAGATCGTCCTATTATTTCTAAATTATAAATAGAGAACTCTTTGTCATTTTTTCTTTACAAACTAATAAATTATAAAAAAGATTCCTAAAAACGTAAACAACCGTAATCCTTGGGCTTTACCCTAATAAAGTCTTTATTTATTGATTCTATTATAATATTATTCCATTAGTATATTATATGACCTGTTTTTTCTTAAAATAATATTTGATTTTTTATCTTTTGTTAAAAAATTGTTTACTCACGATAGGCCATTTATAATAAACAGAATTCCTAGTGTTTTTTCTTTTTATCTTCAAACCACACGATCATGAACTCTAGATAACGTATCAAACTTGAAGCAACTGTTTTTATCAAATAATAACAGCTCATCTTGAAGAACAGAAATACAAAGTATTTATTAAAGGCATATGAAAGCTAGTGATTTAAACATCTCAGTGATAACAATCAATAAAATAAGGTCTGCCATTTGATGGAATTATTTTTGGTGGATCAGAAAATTATGCAGTTGTTTTGACTATCGACAAGAATGTTTACCACTGAAAGCATGGCTGTAGAAAGTAGTCTTTGTGATATGATGGCCTTTATTTTGTTAAACCGAAGCAAGCTCGCATGGCCCTCAGCCCAGCGGGACAGGTGATATCTGTTTGAAAACAGTGTTATGAAAATAACGTGGTGAAATCACAGCCCAAAAGATAGAAAGCTACTCAAATTTGGGCCAATGTCCAATGATAGAAGTAGAACTATAATTTTCGTAGGTATAGACAAGATGTCGATAGCCTGTGATCTGTGTGTGTGTCTGTGTGTCCTATTAAACCCAGGGTTAACAAGCCAACGATTAGAGACCCGAACAAGATTAGATACGGTGTTAAAGAATTAAAAGCTTTTATGACATGTTGAACAAAAGAAATCTTATGTCATTTTATCACATTATTGATGTATCGTCAACTATGCGATCTTGCCGATATCCGTTCGACTCATTAACCACGGAGGTGTCACACTACGTGGACGCCTTGCCAAATCCTCGATAACCCAAGGGGCAAAATTCCGTAGCGAGAAACAAGAAATGGTCTTGCCAGAGCTGGCTTTCTATGATTACCAATGTGCCTTGAATTGGCTACTCCGTTTTTTAAGAAGAAGCCTCACTTTCTTATACAAAAAAACAGTTAATTAATTGGTTGCGCTTAGTCTCCTCCTCAGCCGTTCTGGGACCGAAACTAATGCGGAGTCTTGCTTAGTAAATGTCAACATAAAGATGCACAGTAAGCCGTGTGGTTCATACGCTTTCTCGGAGCCGCCCGCAGTCGACTACCGCGGTAAAATTAGAAAACCGCGCGCGCTCACGAAGGCGGCGGCGTTTCAAAGTACGCATTCGTTATCACTGATGTGTGATGCATTATTGACTACCTCGTTAAACGTTTGCAAAAGCGGTTTATCGAAGAGCAAGAATGGAAGCAAGCCAGATTCTTGGATTACTTTTAACTGCTGTAAGATCTGTTTTGACATTTATATTTATTCCTATCTTTCCCATGACAAACCCATCTGCGTTTTAATTTCCGTTTTGCCCAATTAAAATACCTCTGCAGACTCAGTAGACCAGCTTGGTCGAGAATCGCTCTAAGAATACTAGATAGTTTCAGATAAAATTTTTCAACATTTTGATGTTGATAAAGTTGACGATTAACTTAACTCGTACTGTATCATACCAGAGATTCCTTCTCTTCATTTTCTCTTGATTTCATGTATGTTATTATGTTTTTTATTAGCAGTATTTGGTAAGTACTAGTTAAAAAGCTAATAAATAAATAATAATAATAAATAAAATAACTGGGTATTATGGCTTATAACTGTTATTGTTTCATTCAGCGAAGCGACCAACCCTGCCAGATGCTGTTGTGACACATGTTCGCTAATAAACGCCCAAGAAATGGATCGATACTATACTGCACAAGGTCAGCCACCGCTCTATTTGACGTCCTGGCCCATGGTAATGCAACCCCACTCTCATAAACAGGGGCTCTATCCAGCACAAGGGTCTTATCTACAGCCACAGTATCAAGAGAGAAGCCAGCCTCCAATCCATCCTCGAGGTAATTTGGATTATTTTACAATATATACGGATTATATTCCAGGAGGTTAATATACAATAATTGGGCATATAGACAAAGTTAATAAATGGAGGGGGGTTGTTCGTGATGATTAAAGTGTCGTTAGGGACGGCTTACTTAGAGAATAGAGAAGAGAAGCGTCATAAGTCTTAAATATTCGCCTGTCTTGTGCTTGCTCATACATTTTAATGTTATCGGATTTTTAAAAAAAATATCAAGGAATAACACTAAGGGTTCGTACAGTTATAAATTAACAGTTACAAACCTATTGGAACGATTGCTTAGCAATCATTGTTTTTTAAATTGATTTTGGACCAGGTGCTCCTCTAATATTCACGCAACCAACAC